AAAGACCCCCCCCAAAAAACAAAACAAAAAAAACCAACGTCTATACCGTTTTTCGTCGGACTTATTTTCTGTTTTAAAAAATTCCTAACGATTTATCAGTTTTGTTATCACAGTCTAATTAATTTGTTAATTCTGTTATGTATTATTTTGTTGTATGGATTTATTAATACTGTTATTTATTATTGTGTTATTGCTTTATTAATATTATTGCACTTTATAATTGTTTTGTGTGCATTTATTAATTATGTTATTCATTATTGTGTTATTGATTTACTTATAAGTGTTGTATTTGATAATCTTGTATGAATTTATTAATGTTGTTATTCATTATTGTGTTATTGATTTATTAATGTTGTACTTTCTAATCTTGTTGTAGGGATCCGTGACTCCAAAAATGGTACAATCGGCGGATAAAAGTAAGTAGAGTTGCATGAATCTATTGATAGTGTTATTTATTATTGTGTTATTCATGTATTAATACTGTACTTTATTATTTTGTTTTATTGCTTTATTAATTCTGTTTCCTATCATTCTGTTGTCTTGATTCATCATTTATGTAAGATGTGGATTTGTTTTTTGTGGATTTAAAAAACAAAAATAATCAATGTTGTATTTTTTTATATTGTTGTGATTGTTGATTAATATTGTTTTGTTTATAGTTTTGCTTTGATTGTTCAATATTGCAACCTATTGCATTACTGCATTGATTTGAGAATGTTGTTATGGTTCTTTTTTTGTTGCATTGATTTTCAATATTCTCAAAATTTGTTTTTCTTTTTCATTGATTTATCAAAAGCCTACTGTTATGCATTATTTAGTTGCAATGCTTTATTGGCATTGGTGTTTATTACTTTGTTGAATTGCTTTATCAATACTCTTATTTACTAATTTGGTGTATCGGTGTATTGGCGTTCGTTATTTATTATTTTGTTATATCAATTAAATGACTAAGAATACATAACATCACAACTGAAAGAGCTGCGGAGCTGACCTACCACCATAGAAAACTGCATCTCCCCTCGACGCTTAACGGCAACAGAGGAAGACAACGTAAAAGTAAAGTAAAGGAATTAAATGATATTTTATTTTTATACTGTTGCATTCGTTGATCAAGATTGTACATTTATTTTGTTGCTTTTGTTCATCAGTTTTAAATATCAATATTGTTGTGTATAATTTAGTTGTACTGATTTATCAATACTGTTTAAACAATTATTTGTTGTATTAATAAGACCGTTTGTGTATAGCTTATGTGTATTGATTTATCTATATTATTTTTAAAATATTATTTGTTGTATTAATTATCAAGATCGTTATGTTTTTTATTTTTAGTAGAGGTTTTACGGCGCTCGCAACTAGATCGTTATGTACAGCTTAGTTGTAATGTTTTATCAGTATGATTGTTCATTATTTCGGGGCGTTGATTTATCACTATTTCTACATGTTATTTTATTGTTCGGATAGATCGCTGTTTCTGTCTATTATATTGTTGTACTCATTTATCATTATTATTGAACTAT